TCTAAGCTATTAAGGTCTTGTTCGAGACTTATGGTCGCACCAGATGAGTTAGGACTGGAGTGTATAACTCATAGAGTAATTTCGGATAGGGTACACCGTCTGCTCGTCACGCTATCTTATTTTCGGCCGGATAGATTCGTGCAACTTCTTAGTCTAATACCGATCCTAATCTTACTCTATACTATCTAGTCTCAGGTTGTTTAACTAGTCCTCTGCTAGGCTCAATAGATCTAGGGTATACTGGTTTATTGCGGCTGCTGAAGTGCTCGGGAGAGTCCAACTAATTTCTAAGTTAAATTCAAATCTCTCTGGTGCTGAAATTACAAGTAACTTCAGCACTTTACAAATAAGTGGGTTGTTAGTTAGATGGATCATGATTGGTTAATATTAATTACTTTACATCTGGTAAAATATCTAATCTATCCAATCATAAAATGTAGTTTAGATCAGGTTCCAACAGTTTCCGAGATTCGATACCACTTTGACGGTTAACTACTTTTGCGCCTATTTGCGAAAAACCTTTAATAAATCACAAAACCTTTATAAAGAAAGTCAGAACCACTTATTTGTGATATGAGAGTACAATTTTTGCTTTAATGAATTGTGCGACAAACCTAACGCGTCAAAAAATTTCAGTTTGTTCCGAGGAGTTTGCACGTTTTAAGGCATGTTTTTGGTTTCACTTGTGTGTTTTACCATGAATTGGCGGAGAATTCGGTCAAAAAAACTGACAGAAAGTTTTAGTAAGCAACAAGCACTACCGGTATGGTTTTTTCACAAGCCTAACAAAAAGCTTCGAATCTACAAAAAATGATTCATTTTCACTTCTTGTTGGCTTTTGGAAGAAGAAAACCGGTGGAAAAGTGGAAGAAGTGAATTGAGTGAAATGAGACGCAGTTGATCAGTTATGGCCAGTTCAGTGTAGCTTAAACAAATCAGTTGAGATTGAAAAAGAAAACAAGAGAGAGACCGAGGGGGAAGGGGGGAGGGTGCGGGTGGGGGAGGGGAAGGGGGATGTCGCTATGTCCTTCAAGATTGAGTAGTTAACAAATTATGAATTCAGATATGGAGCCAGGGGCGATTTACGTGCGCCAGTTTGCTTTCATTTAGCCCCACACAACTCATAATCTCCAGAGAGGAAATGAAATGGTCGGTGGAAGCAAAAATCAATTTGAAAAGGAACACAAGTTCAGTAATTAAATTAAGAGATCTCCGATTCCCATGTACCAAAAGTTCACATGTATCGTTACGGTAAAATCAAAAGCAGTAAATGTCATTCCTTCGATAGTGAATCAAGCGAAGACAAAGCTTTGAGTTTTTGTCAACTTTTGGAATCTCAAATTGAGTAACAAAAGCAAAATAAAATAAAAACAAGACTGCTCGTATCAGGTCTAAGCACTGAATGTTCCGACTGTTTTTTAAGGTTTATGGAGCAGCAATAACATAAAAAAGTTAATGTAATAAAATAAAATGAGAAAAAAAATTCTAAAATTTGATTTTTTTTGTGAAATCATCCCCCCACACGCCATATAGAGTACAAAAGAATAGATTTCGCTCATTGTAACAAATCAATCATGTTAAACAAGCTTCTTTGAACCAATTTGGAACGATTTCTAAGACGGATTAAATCTCCGCTTACGCGTTAATAGCGCGAATTATATCGCACGTTAATTGTCCCAAATTGGTCAAAATGGCCAAAATGGCAATCTTTAAACCCTCATAACTTTACGAAAATTGATCTCAGGTAAAATATCTTTTCAAATTTGAGCTCAGGATAAAAATACCTTTTGAATGATATTAAAAAAATTCCGTCAGAAATGGCTAGTTAAAAAGTCGAAATTTGTCTGAAGAAAAAAAACCCACCCTGAGCACAAATATTCCGTTACTTTCGTATCGAAAGTCGGAACAATAAACAAAGAAAGAAAAAGAAAGAAAAAGAAAAAAAAAAGAAAAAAGTCTTGGAATGAATGCTAACATAAAGTATTTTAGGCTTTGCAATCTACTTTGGATATGGCATGTGGTCCAGTACCCAGGCAGCCCCCGGGGACAGGGAGAGGGGGGAGGAGATCAGGAGCAAACTGAGGGCAGGGGGCAACACTAACAGCAACAAGCCCAATGAGGGGGGAGGAGTGAATGGGGTTCAGTCTAAGGGGGCATATAGTAATCTGCAAAACGATAATAGTAACCAAAATGAAACACAAGGAGCCATCCACCCGAACAACCCACAGCAACAACAACAACAACAACAACAACAACAGCAGCAATATAGGTAACAAATTGCGCAACTGCCGATAATTTTCGATTCTTTAAACAAAAAAAATTATATGCAATTAACCGACAAACAGTGTTTTTAGTTGAAATTTTTGTTCCTACCATTGAAAATGGTTAGGAACTTTGAATTTGAGTGCGTTTTAGTTTTTGCTTTTTATTTTTTCCACGTAAAATCAGCTACGACAAAAAAAATTGGGTTGGGTGGAGTCATATATAAAACTGAATCATTTTTTAGTCATGATTCGAACATTTAAAAAAATTTCAAACAATTGTCCCAGTATCGAGAAAAGCTGGTTTGAAGTTTTTGAGATTTAGTCTAATTTCGAGCACTTGGTTTTCCTAAACAGAAAAACTTATTTGAGACTTATTTTAGTGCTTCCTTTGCCAGCCAAAAAAGTTCCTTAAATAAATAAAATTGTGCAAACAAAACTTGAAAAGATTTTAATAAAAATTTTTCTTAACATTTGAAATGCCGGACCAGGTTGTTTGCATTTGATTGGCTAACTTACTTTGGGCCGTTCAGTTCATGACCCTTGCTGTTTTTCCTATTTTTAGTCAATATAATTTTTATCTTGTTAATTTTTTGTTTTTGTTCTGTTTTCCAGTTATAATCAGCAGTCTCAAGGAGAGAGAGGTGGAGGGGGAGGGAATTATTATGGTGGGGGCAGTGACATGTCCCAGCAGCAAGGGTACAATCAGCACACCAACTACCAGAACCAGAACAGACAAGAGAGACCGAACAACTACCAGGGGATGTACTGAACAACAGCACCAGAAGAATGTTCTAGAAGAACTAGAATAACAGCGGAGAAATAGTAGTAATCATGTCTGTGCATTCTTTCTATTTTAAATGTCAGATGCTTTCTACAACAGTGAATATCTTTTTTAAACCTATAAAAAAGGGGAAAATAAAAATTATACAAATTTGAAATTTGAGATAAATACTGACTTTGAAGTGCTAATTTTGTATGTGTAAGTGTTGTTGTGTTTTTCTTAATCCAAAACCCTCTTATGGAGAAAATCTATACAGCAGTATCAAAATATTGTTTCGCATTTTTGTTATTGAAGAAATACTTTGTCTATATTTTAATTGTACTGATTATTCTATTTATGGATTCTCAATGCGTTACGTTTAATTAGTGTAAAAATAATTAGGAATGCATACTCAGAATTGTAATCCAGTTTCTGTCTTGTAAATGATCAACTTCGACACAATTTAAGCTTTTAAAGACAAACTTCTGCCGAATTCTTTTTCTGTAAATGCATAAGAAGAATGTCCAGTTTGCAGGGGTGGTCCCATATCCTGGGCAAGATAATCTATCACAAATTGGTCCTGTTTCACTCTCAGTCGTTTATTGTGTGAGACAAGTCTCTTGCGCCACGGTCTTTTTGGGAGCTGTTAAGAAGAATATGAAGAAGATGAAGATGAGGAAGAAGAAGATGATGAAGAAGAAGATGAAGATGAAGATGATGAGGATGAAAGAAGAAAAGTTAATTGAGGAATTTAAAAAGCCAGACAGCAATTACATTCTGAAAAGACTGTTGTCCAACATAGATCTTGGATCAAGACATGAGGTTCAATACACGTCTTCATTTTATCTAGGTACACAGCCCCAGATAGACCAAGATGAGATCTTCCACCCCAGCATTTAATTCATATTAAATTTGCTAAGCGCTGCATTTAAAATGCTTGATTCTGATTGGCTCAACCAAGACCAAGTTAAGTTAATCCCCCAAACGGCTTTTTTTTGGGGGGGGGGGGGCGAGGATGTTAACTTGGCCCCAGGTGTATTTTTTCAATTTCTTAAAATTATGACTTTAATTTCCAAATAACACTGTAGATTCTTTTCCGGGTAGTCTTCTACTCTAAGCACGCTTTCACTCTACTTAACGCCCGCAGAGTTTCTCCCCTTCATACCGTGTAATTCAAGACACGATATGATCCACAATCCCGAAAGGGTTATGTTGGTGGTCAGACTAAATCGGCCGATCAAAGTGTTACGCAACTTCCCTCTTAATTTAGGCTCTTTTGGCTCTCCTCTTACGCTTCTAGCTAGTTCAGCAAATCGTGGGCACAATAAGTAAATTGTCAATCGCAATGGAAATAAAGCAATTTTTAGTGCCCTGAATGAGCTAACTACTATATAGCAACTTCTATATTGAAGCCCGCGTCCCGTTCCGTTCAATTGCTCGTCAGTTTTCGGTTGACTCGATTCAAAACTCGCCTATTCTAGCTCGTGAAAAACTCGTTCACACGAATAGTTCAACCCGGTACTAAACTCGAGTTCCAGCGCAAATACGCTGGGAAATACGCCACTTTCCGGTGTTATTTTTGAGGCTTTCCATGCAATTTGGTACTAAGAGCCCAAAATTCAATTTGAGGTCACCCCGGGTTTAACTGAAGTCAAATTTCCATATTTGTGTTCAGAATCCCATGGGGGTCCTAACTACCAAGTTTCATCCATATCCAGTTAATACTTCCCAAGTTATCCTATTTCTAAGGTCCAGTATCACTTTTCCCGGGGAAAAGCTAATAACACCGGAAGGAGTCGCCAGAGGGGTTTCAATCACCAGGGGTCTTTTTTTGGCGGTGAGTTTTAGTATCTGATGCCGCCATAAAATCGATATGCCCTTGCTCATTTTTTTGCGTAAATTGCCTACTTCCGCTTTAAGGGGTGGTTTTCCAAAGTGCTAATAACTTCCGATCTAACCGCCGCATTTGGTTCAAATTATAACACAAGATGTATTTTGTCACTACTTATGCTATCCCAACGTTTTGACTTCCTGCGTTCAGTGGGGTCGGAGAAACGACTCCCGGAAGTCGGGGTGCGGTCTTTTTGCTTAGGGCAAAAAACGGGAAGTAGGGGTCCGAGGGGTCTGATTTTCTGAACTAAAGCTTCCCTTAACTAGGTATATAACATATTATATTTTGGTTCCATTCCGATTGCTAGTTACAGCGTTCTGATAGGGCCATTTGAACTTCCAAGAACCGTTATCACATGAGGCCGGGAGATCCGAGGGTTATGGATCTTTGCATGCCCGGGTCAAATCATCTCTAATATCCGTCCTTTGAGTTTTATAAACCTAGCCGCTGTGGTTGCCATTTGGGGGGGGGTTTGCAAATCTTACTTCATCTGGGTTTTCTGCCATAAGAGGGACTATATCTTCGAAGATTCAACTATTTCGAAATTTACCTTTTGTTAGCTCTACTGTTTAACTTATGGACAAATCAATCTTACGCTCAGGTTGTTATAACATGTAAAACAGTAGAATCACCAATTATACAGTCTTCCCTTCCAGCCTATTATTCTCCCGAATAATGCTAAAACAAAGCTTTTTTTACCGTCTCTCTACCAAGGTGTATGGCTTAATCTAACACCTCAACTCGACTCTTTCTCTAATATGTAATCCCTGTTTTAACACCAATTTTTTTTTGCTTAACTAGGTTTTCACTTTTCCTGCTATAATACACTGCCTTGTTTTACTTTTCAGTTTTCCACACAACTTATATGCACCATCAATTACGTGTTCCGACGCAGCGAACCGCGGGCTTCAGTTTCCGTAGACTCTTACATAATCAACTTATCTATATTAGCACCAAGGGTTGTTTCCTTGAGTGAAGCAACTAAGAGTCTAATAAAGATTTTTAAGGCGTCGTGAAATGCCTCCACCATTCTATCGAAACAGTAAAATGTTCTACCAAAAATTTCACCCATTTTCTATCTGTCCTACTGATGGAGATAATTCTAAAGCAAACAAAAATATCGCGGATGAGATTAGTAAGGTAGAGAGGAAGAACGAGTTTTCAGTTTTACTCACTGCAATCCGACAACTTCACACTTCCGATCTCTCACCTCAAGTCTTCTACTGTCATTTCCATCTGTCCACGAGGTGCCTGTAGTCCTGCTGCGGCACCGTCCTGTCACCTCCTCTGTCTTCATCCGTCACCTGATCGTCAGGTGGTCGCCAGCACTGCTTGGGGACCTCGCATTCAGATTTAACCCAGCCCCGGTCAACTTCATCTTCGCCGAACGACTCCACACATTTCCATCGATCAATTAAATTGTGGAAGTAGGCGGCCTTAGCATCTCCAGGTCCCACTTCCCTTCCATTGTCAAGCCCCTTTTGTTCTTCGTGTGTTCGACATCGCTTGAAAGACCTGAAGGAACCTTCTGATCTGCTACTCACTTGCAGATTTTGACGTTGGTCCCATACTTTCGTAGACAAACTGTGTTCGCACGTCGTTTCCGTAATCTCTAGGCATGATTACACCCAAATAGTTGTTGTTTCGTTTGTGTTATCCTCACCTGGCCCTTGGACGGCTTCAGTCATCATCTGTCCTCCCGCAGCAGCATTGTCCCCACTACTCAGAAAACCATCTGCCGTCTCGTCCTCATCAAAACTCAACTCATCATCGTCAGATCCGTCGAAAGAGCCTTTTGTGTCTCTCATTTCCGCCCGGAGCAATCGTTACATCTCTTCTCTCCCGTCCACACATCGTGAATACGCTTCGTGGATCGTATCTGTGTGACAGCCAGTCTGTAATTGGGCGACTCAAAATTGGAAAGAAACGGGGAAATAATCCAATTCCACGCATTGACTCCTCCACTTCAATCATTTTTCCACTCGTAACCTCACCTATTACCACAACATTCTCTTCACTATGCTCATCGCTTCAGTCTCCCCAACTACTGCCCGAATTTTGCCTTTTGTGTCTCTCATTTCCGCCCGGAGCAATCGTTACATCTCTTCTCTCCCGTCCACACATCGTGAATACGCTTCGTGGATCGTATCTGTGTGACAGCCAGTCTGTAATTGGGCGACTCAAAATTGGAAAGAAACGGGGAAATAATCCAATTCCACGCATTGACTCCTCCACTTCAATCATTTTTCCACTCGTAACCTCACCTATTACCACAACATTCTCTTCACTATGCTCATCGACCAATTTCACATTGTATCCCATCTCCGTCGGGCAGGCGAGTTCCATTGAGTTTTCGTCGGGTTCGCAATTCTCCAGATCACCTTCTCTCAAAGGGCCATGACCCATTCCCTTCAACGCGTTTTCCCGACCGCTACTTTCGGAAACTTCGCTGCCGTCTCGCTCGGCAGCGTCATGAACTGTTCCCTTTTCGGCGGTTTGATTTTCGCGTGTCACTGCCAGGTCACGCCCAGTCCTCTCTGTGCCAGAATCTGCACTCTCGGGCTAAGCCAGCGCCCACTTTGGCGGCTTTGCACTCTCCGCCTCACAAGAGTCTGTAGTCACAGCTGCATTGGCGCATACTCTGCCTGTTTCCATTCCATCTCTGACCCGAAATTGCTGTCTCCCAGGACATCTGAATCTAACCTCAATTGAACTACTGCACTTCTTTCCAGTTTTCACAACTTAGTTCTTCATGTCGAAAACGAAATCCACGTTCCGTTCATACCAAACGAGTCCAAGTGTTAGATCAACATCCAGTCCATCGATCACCAAGACATCGGTCCTTTGTGTGAAACTGTCCCAGCTGAAGCACGATCGACGCTTTGCCGACTACACCCAAATTGTCTCCTGTTTTTGTCTCGAGAAATTCCTCGGCCTGTCTCAGGGGCACCTCTGATCCAATCGACCGGTAGGTTTTGTAGCTTAACAGTGTCCATTCAAGGTTCGGATCCAGTTCCACTCTAGAAGCCCTGTTGTTGTTATAGCCATATGTGAAAGCTCTGATGGGCATTCAGTACATGTCATTTGTCTCCACGGGAGCCGATCCTCTCACTTCCTTCCTCGCATTCTCGGGGGCCACGACCCGTGACTCCTTCACCCGGCGTCCCACCATTGGCTTGTCATCTCCCTCTTGCCGATCTACTAACTGTGTCTGAGGCTCCTCTGCGAGTTCAATTTTCTGCGGCCTTGGGCACGACTCCCATTTGAATGAAACCGCCGAACTTGGGTCGGAACTCGTGAAAAATATCTTTGACTTCTCATCATAGAAACTTCTTATAAACTCGTTCATCCATCGAGTACTCAGAACCATGTCCGTGTCCATCTCTTGGTTTTCCATGAGTACGGCTGGGAATGTCCTCTTCAGTCTCCCCAACTAGATTTCCACCGAAATTAATCTCACCGCTTCGACATCTCGGACATAACCGTCACCTCTTCCAATCAATCTTCCGTTGAACGGCAGTACAGCCGGTCGAGGCTGCAACGTCTGAAAAGCATCCAGTCGCATCAAGTGACCTGACGTGACGCCCTCTTTG